CACAGCCTTCAGCCTGAGGCCTACAGAAGTTTCAGGACATCTGGTGTAATAGGGGAAGCTTTTCACTCCTGCTATGATGTTCCCTGTTCTTCAGATTCTTGCTCTGATCAGAGGTAGCAAATGCTCCAAGGAGCTGGGCAGATAATCACTAATGAAGCAGGCAGCACAGAGACTAGAAAATTGGAGTGTAGGCTGCCTTCAACAGATTGCTACCCCGAAGACACCTGGGCCTGTTCTGCTCTCCCTTCCAAGTTTTAAGGAAAGTCTTGGAGTTCCAATCCCTGTGAGTTCTGGCACACTATGGGCCACTAGTTTGTGCCTCTTCTTCAGGTTCATCTTGGAAACAGGCCAGAGAAGCCTTAACCTTGACAAATCCAACCTTGGCCTCCAGGAAGCTTACCTTACAAGTCAGAAAAATGGGGGCGGGGGAAGTAATAGTTTCATACTGCAGTCTGTAAGACTCTCCACAAGTGTGTCCACCTGCTGTAGGACCAGCTGCTGCTTCTGCAGATTCAAGATATCAATACACAGAAACACATGAACCCAGGACTTGGTCTCCCAGGCCTGAGGGAGATGGGGAATGTAGAATAGAAATAGACCAGGCTTTTCTTTAAAAGTCTTATCAGATTCCATGGGCTGGGTTTTCTTCAGACTCTCAGCTTGGCAGCAGAGAGTGCTGCATGTCTGAATGCACTGGCTGAGCTAGAATTTTGTGTCATTTCCAGAACTGTCCAGAAAAGTATCAGGAGTCTAGAAAAGCCCTCAGCAGCTGTATGTGTGTATCCATGATGATGAGATTGAGGCGACAGGGCAGCCATCTCCTAACTGGTGCTGATGCTAAGCCTCGGGAGACATGGCTGAATGATGGAAGACAGGGAAGCTCTTCTCCCGGCTGGTGCTGATGGTGTTAAGGTTTCCATGTGTATAAGGAGACCACACAATCCCCCACTGTGAGCAAGCTTGGCCCACATCACATTCCACAGACCATATGCTACCTTTACCAACTTCTTTTTCCCTTGGATGCTGCCCTTTGTTTCCTGGCAACCAGCTTGCTCCTAACTACAGTTTCAGGCAGAGGGATGTGTTCTCTGGAGTGTGGCTACAGTGCAGTCACTGAAATTTCATGAAGTCCAGGGCAAGAGGAGCCAGTGTCCAGTGACCAGAATTTTCTGGGTGATTGGATTTTTTCAAGGGCTATGTTTTTTTTTTTTTTAATGTAGCAAGGCTGAGTTAATTCTTCTCATCAATATCAGAAAATGGACCATTTCCTCTCTGACAGTTTGAGCAATTTACTGTGGCCACAGTGCCAGATCCCTGCATGGACATACACATTCATTCACATTTTCTAGGAAACCTGCAACAGACAACTAGAAAAGGCTGGTGCAACACAGGAGCAGCCACAGGACAAAGCATGAAATGCCCCCAAACCACAGAGCTCTTCCATAGGGAGAACTGCATAGAAGGAATCCAGAATTCCCCTGATGAGCTAGACCAGGTATGCACAGGCATTCACTCAGTGGATTACAAAGTAAAAATGGGGGCCATCCTGACAGGAAGAGGGAAGAAAACCATAGGGGAAGTTTGCCTAAAATGTTAAAAGGAATTTATTTTACCTTCCATTTGGCAACTTGTTACTTAATTCATCATGACATCAAGTCTTCAAGTAATTGCTGAGAATTTGTACTGTGCTTGTTTTATGATGTGGTTAATAAGGTGGTAAATCAGCTTTCTTTCATGTGACAACTTCACTTGATTGTTATTTTGTGATCTTGAGATGCTCCAAGACTGAGCTGTGTTCGGTGAGCAAGTGTGCTGCTATGAATTAATAACGCCTTTCCAGGTGAGGGGCCAGTATTGTTTACAAACTCTGGCTCATTGAGGTGTCTATTGGCATTAAAAAAAAAAGCAGCTAAATGCAAGGTCACATTCCCTAGAATACTCTGTAAAGCAATGGTAATTTTTAGTCATTATTGATTTCCTAAGATTAGATACACTCCCCCAGTAACTTTTTCCTTAAAAAGTTTACTTATTAACTTTATGAAAAATGTCCTTTACCCCATATGAAAATCTGCCAGATGAAGGTTTAAAAAACTCTGTCTAGGCTCAGTGAAAAGCTTCTGTGACTGATTAGTGATGACTGACATGGGAATAGTGTTGAGAGAATGTACATGGCCTATATCCAGCATTCAGATAGATGGATATTTCTCATCCTACCTTACTCTGATGAGGGTCCCACTTGCTTTGCTGTACATTCCATGTATTTTTACTCTCACTAGCTCTCTATAAGCTTAGTCTGCCTCCACTCCACAGTGACTGCTTACCTTGGTGGTCATCCTATGATATTGGTATCTCCAAAACTGCTAGGGTCTCTTGTGGCAACTGGGATGCACTTTTGCCAATAGCCCCTCATAGGCTCTTTTTATGGTGCCAAACCTCAACTTCTCTTCATGACCCCTTCAACCCTGGATCTTCAACTGCCACTGAGGCTGTACCTTCATCAGTGGCCTCTCCTGGCCTCTCACAGTGCCAAGCCTCAGTTGCTCTCTGTGACCCTTTCATGCCTTCAAAACCAGTACCACCTGGGAGACTTTCACATATTACCAATCCCATCTACCAACACAAGGTACAGCCTTGGCTGCCTCTGGAACACAGCTTCTATGTATTCTCAGGAAACACTTCTCAGAAGATCTCACCTCAGCTTTGCTGGTCTCCTCCTCCTCCTGCTCCTCCTCCTGCTCCTGCTCCTCCTCCTCCTCCTCCTCCTCCTCCTCTTCTTCTTCTTCTTCTTCTTCTTTTTTCTCAGAGCTGAGGACCAAACTCAGAGCCTTGTGCTTGCTAGGCAAGCCCTCTACCACTGAGCTAAATCCCCAACCCCCGTGCCGGTCTCTTCTTAATCACCACTAATTTATTAGCTCCAGCTAACCAGCATCAATTGTCCCAATAACACAAAGGTTTTACTTCAGTGGTACTGGTCTCTTGTTAATTATGACTGACTCTTCAGCTCCAGCTGACCAGAACAACAGAATCTTAATTCAAAATAGCAAATGGTCCCGATAAGTCCTTCAAGTTTCCCTCTGAAATTTCACAAGCCAGGCCTCCATTTTCTGCCTTGCTGTCAACATTCTTATCTTCTAAGCTCCCACAGAACATCTCAATTGAGCTCTCCACACTCAATGGTGTTTCCAGTCCAAAACTTTGTGCTATTGATGGTGTCCTCTGCCTTATACAGGCTTTTCAGTTTCACAGGATCCCGTTTATTGATTGTTGATCTTAGGGCCTGTGCTATCTGTGTTCTCTGTTCAGGAAGTTGTCTCCTGTGCCAATGTATTCTAGGCTATTCTCCACTTTCTCTTCTATCAGGTTCACTGTATCTGGCTTTATGGTGAGGTCTTTGATCCACTTGGACTTGAGTTTCATGCAGGGTGATAGATATGGATCTATATTTGCATTCTTCTACATGCTGACATCCAGTTATGCCAGGACCATTTGCTGAAGCATATGAGTATTCTTATCTCCAGTCCCTGAACTTGAAATCTACAGTCAAGTTCCTAGAATCCTTGATGTCATTCAGTGACTCACTACCTAGACAGTAACCCTGGCTCCAAACTAAAGCCCTTTATAGCACCCAGCATTTCCCCCTGTGTTTCCCTCAGTCAGGTTTTCTCATTCAAACCGTGATCTGTTTTTCTTTATTGTGGAGGAAAGCTTTATTTTCTCCCAGTACAGGTTGCAACACCTAAGTTGATGCATGTCACTTGGTGTAACAGGACAGCCAGGAGTGACAAGTCCGGTGGACATTGTGATAAATTTGTCCATGATCTGAATATTTCCTTTTGTAGATGTTGTTGACATGTTGTGACACAGTCTGAATATTGCAGTGGCCTCTAACTGTCCCCTATAATGTCCAACAGTTATTTTGCCGCCCAACATCCTCCTCCTAGCATCTAACGGGCAACTGGATCCTCAGCACCATCTTTATCATGTACAATGTTTTGCTCAAAACAATGGATTTTCATATCCTGATGCATAAATGTAAATTACGCTTTTTGGCTTTCAAATGCACCATGGGACATTCTGTTGGCAGTGTGGTGTTTGGAAAAGAAAGAAAACAACAACAGCAGCAAACCAAAATAAGCTGTGGCATTTTACTGGCCATGAGAAGTTTATATAACTGTGCTGCCTTCTTTCTTTCTCCCTTAAGTGTGAAATAACAAGCCCCATTTCAAGGACTTACTATGGGAACACAGAACACTGCACAGGGGCTGGAGGGGTGACTTGCAGTGAAGGACACTTGCTGCAGTTTTTGCAGGTGATCCAGGTTCAGATCCCATCATCCTCATGGCTTAAAACTATCCATAACTCTAGTTCCAGGACGTCTGATACTCTCTTCTGGACTCCTCAAATGCATTGCACACACACACACACACACACACACACACACACACACACACACACACACATATATATATATATGCAGGCAAACATGCACAGAGAATAAAATAAATAAATCTAAAGAGATTAATAAAATAAATTGTATAAATGGCAGGTTGAGCATGGTTAGTGCGAAATAAATACTGTTATTGTTGTAATCAATAATAAAGGTATGAATACATTCCTTAACACTTGACTGAGCACCCCTAGAAGCTAATGATCCTGTGAAAATAGCCCCAGAATGGTGCTTCATGCATGTTGCAGATGCCAGTTCGATTATCTCTAACAATGATTCTCCATTATCCAGCACATTCTAACCACACTTCAAAATCCAAATATCTGTTCCATGAAACCTTTGCTAAGCTTCCTGTTTGCTGCTGACCCCATCCCCACCCTACCATTCCCACACTGAGTGTGCATTTGGTGCACTGTATCTTGCTTGTTGCAGAAACAGTGCCAGTTAACACTGATGGACACAGGAATCCCTTCCCACAAAGGCTCACCTGGAGGTGAGAAATCTTCAGACATGTATGACAATCATGTTTACCCCTCTTTTTTTGTGTTTGCAGCTTCTTTGCATGAACAAGGAATGGTTCAAATGACTGTGAAAGACTACATGAGGTAGGTAGCAGTCAGTCACTTCACTCTGAAATTTTACATCTACATCATTAAATGGAGTAGAAACAATATAATAATTTCTTCTTATTAATTTTATAGTTCTTGGGATCTCCTGAAATGTCACTCTCTTAGCTACTAGGCTTGGAGCATTTTCGATAGTCTTTGCAGAATTAGAGGTATCTTAAATATCATAAAGGAGTGAGAGGATTGCAACAGCAAATGCTGGCCTGCTATAAAACTTAATTATAATATTTGCCTAAATGCATTCTACTGCAATGTGTTGCTTTAAAACTACGTGTTGCTAAAAACTCATGATTTTGTCTGGCTGATGATGTAACACTGTCTACTGACTGTTGAGATGTTGGTGGAAAGCAGTGTGTCTCTAATGGAGGAAAGAGTAGACTACAGAGGGTACTCACCTACACAGCTGCATGACACTGAGTTATGCAGCCTACCTCAGACTTACTGAACTGAAACATTAGATGGGATTCAGAACTGTGCTTTGCAAACCCTTCAGACAATTCTAAGGCACAGTCTAGTTTTAAAAATGCTGGGACTGACTGAGCTCTTTGGGGCAAGGATTGCTTCCTGTTCTTGAGTCATTCTTGTAATTTCAGAACTATTCCAGAAAACTAAATATTCAGTGCTGATGAGCACACATTCCACAGTTCTTCCTCCTTTAGGTGATCGGTTGCTTTGCTCTGATGCAGTCACATATTTATAAGGCACCAAGAAAATCTCCCAGGGAGCTCAAAGAGGAGCTTAAGAGGTGGATTCAGGGGACAAGCTCATGCCCACATGGCTGGATCAAAACACATGTGCATGAGTTCTTCTGGATCTAAGGCCCGTTCTGCTTCTAGGTTGCTCAACTGAACATGGCAAAATGGATGGAGCCCTGAAATTCAGAAAGAAAACTGAAATTCAAAGACAGAAGGAGGGTTGACATGTTGCAGTTTGCCTCTCTGGTGCTGCAAAAAAAAAAACACTGACCAAAAGCAACTTGAAGGAGGCAAGGCTTTATCTGGCTTCCAGGTTACAGTCCTTCACTGAGGGAAGCCAGGGCAGGAACCTGGAGGCAGGGACTGAAGCAGAGATCATAGAGAAATGTGGCATGCTCAACTACCTTTCTTATACATCCTGGGCCCACCTCGCTATGGATGGGTCCATCCACAGTAGACTAAACTTCCATCCATCTAGAAAATGCCCTATAGATATTCCCACAGGCCAATCTGATGGAGGCAATTCCTCAATCTGGTCTGTGTGGCAAGGTGAAAACAAACAAACAAACAAAACAACAAGAACAAGCCAAAAACTAACCAGTGCACAAGGCAATAAATAAAAGGATATATTTTCCCCTTTCCTCAAGCTCTATGGTCATTTAAAACTAGAATTCTTATTATTCAGGAACATGTTCTTTCTCATCTTTAATGAAAAGAAACAATTAAACAGAGAGGCAGGGTCCAGATGTTCTTACTCAGTATGGACAGGACTAAAACAAATTTAGCAACTCAAGTTTAGTAACCTGGTCTCTTTGGGAACATTGACATCTGCAGAGTGTTGTTTGATAAATTTTAATTGTATGCCAACTGTCTAATATGATCCATGATATACCTGAGCTACATAAAACAGAATCGTATTATAATACAGTTCAATTTTCTTTGGAGGTGCTTTAAAATGTTTTACAATACAGGAGTACCAGATATGGTGATTCTCATTGTTTTGGGTAGTAAGGGACTTCATTACTATTGCATATGGTTGGCCACAGGAGCTCTGGGGACACAGGTTAGAGACTGTTAGCCATGAAGTATGAAATCCTTCTTCATTGTGAGAAATTAGGTGGAGTACCTCCAGTGGTTGTTTGCTGCATGTCTTTCATCACATAATATTAACTTCTTCCCTCAAGTTGGAGCCTAGCAAAGCTGTGTTCCCGAAAGGTCCCCCAATGATTTGCCATCTGTCAAGAGTGAGACATTCTATCACCTTTATAATAAGCACTTGCAGGCACCTAACACTTAAATGCTCACACCTTCCATAACGATGCTCAGAAAGGAGGAGCACCCCTCTGCTGCACACATTGCCTCCTTCCAAGGCGTGGCCACCATTGGCTTATTAGAAACAAGAGGAGACACAAATGCTTTCTCTGGAAGGGAAATCATCTCAAGGACCTCCTGAGAGAATCTAAATTAATGTGACTCATCTTTGATCCCCTTGCATTCCAGATCTCTGCATCACTTCTCAGAGACTCCTACCCTGTCTAGAGGGACTAGTTTCAACTCATGCTATTCCACCACAGGGGTACCACAAAGGTAGGTGACTTCCTGGCACTTTCATCCAGATAAATGATTCTGCTCAACAACGGGCTTCAAGAAATTATAAATCTGTACTTGAGAGATACTAGTTGAATTAATGGATGAAAGGATGAGCCAAGAATTTCCAAACCTGATTTTCAAGACCATATTAAAAGAGGTAGTGAAATTGGAAAGGAAGTTAAGTATGTATCACTAGGAAATAACCAATAAATGATTGATTAGATTGTACAATTGTTGGAATTTCATTCATTGACAAAACAAGGAAGATGTATACAGACTACAGCTCCACCTATTAGAACTATCACTGGGTCACATTCTAAAACCACAAGGTGCAAGAGGCATAGAGACACGTTATTATTGACAGGCCAAGCAGGTAAAATTTACAAAGTGTGTATACACCCAGGGAGAAAAGGATCAGGATGAAACTTATAGACTTAGTGGAAAGTGGGGGAAAACTGAGGACAAAGATTTATACAATATTTTATTTTATAAAACGTGAGTTCATTTTGTTTATTTCTTATGCAATTAAATATGTTACAAGTTAATGATATTTTCATAATGATTCAACAATATGTTTAATGACAAGTCAATCAATAATCATATTGGTGGCCATGACACTGTACCATTTGGAAGTCAGTCTTTGTTAACTTTGTGTTATAGGTACCTACCCTCAGAACTTACAACACCACATAGTTTCGATAAAGATTATTAAAAATAGACTGAATAAAATTTATACAGTGGGAATAATAGATAATTCAATTTTCATTTAGGATTCTCTCCAAACTAATTTCTCATTTGAATCTTCTTTACATTAATTTGTCGATGGCATACAATCAATTGATTGTCACTGCAGCTTTCTAGATCAATCAAATGATTAAGGTATCCCAGGCAAGCCATTTAGACCACTCAATGCGAGCTCCTAACCTGCCTTTTCTTTCTTGATTGGGTCAGAAGGCAAATCAACAAATCTGCAAGTGACATCAGAAATTGTGAGCGTGATGCTGGTGGTGTCAGGGAAGAGGGCTTGCCCATGAGACTAATGAGACTGAGGCTCTGGAGAGAAAATTAGCTAACGGGTCTCACATAAGCTCATGAAAGTAGCATGGAAAGGAAAGCAAACAGAAACCCTTAAAGAAGAGGCCAGAAAACCTGCTGAAACCTTATGAGAAATTTCAGTTCCCACAGAGTCCATGGCATTTGAAAGTTCAAACACCAGAATTTTTTGAGTGAGGATAAAACTCCTAGGTAATTGATTCTTAATTTCTGTGCCAACACAGACTAGAACATTTTGACAAAGGGATATCTTGTTTCTCAGCCAAGCCAAGACAAAATACAAACAAACAAACAAACACTAACATATTCTAATCCTACCAAGGGAGTTGAAAGCATTATTTGGAAACATTGATCCTATAGTGTGCGCTGAGTGATATCTTTGACAGATTTCTGTAGCTAAGGATGCCCCAGACTGATGCTTTAAAAAATATTCTTCTATGAGTTTCCATTCCCAGTTTTTTGTTGTTTTCTGTTTCCTCTTTTGTCACCAGTTACTGTTTGGAGGTGATTGTCAGTGCACTGTCTATGACTTCCACTCCCCAGTCTTCCTGCCCTGTCCATTTTAACACTTGCCCACTGGGAAAGAAAAGCAAGATGGATAAGCTCATGGTTTTGTTTGTAAAGCACAGGCAAGCATCCCTGGGTGGGGTGACCGACTGTCTTTTAAGTGAGCTATGTGAGTTCTAGCGAACTTACCATCTGTTTGTCTGTTCAAGATCTCCTTCCACTCAAATTGTGGAAGACTGGGTGAGTAGAGAAAAATGGCTTATGGTTAAATGGGCTGCTATAAAAAAAGATATTCTTATTTTTTTTAATCTCAGCATTCCTGAATGGCTGGAATTTTGGGAAAAAGACCCAGTGGAGATTCTCCTGGATCTAGGCTTTGGTGCTGATGAACCAGATATCTGCACACAAATCCCAGCCAGATTCCTTGGTTGCAGCTCAGCAGCCAGAGGAATCAACATGCGTGTTTTTCTTGAAGCACAGAAGCAGAGGATGGACTTTGAGAACCCTGACTTGTACGGTAAGTAGGAGCTGATGGCATTGCCTCTCAGTACTTGGCACTGAGTACTGTGTGCTCAGAGCCACAGCATTTGACAGGATAGACTACTCCTTGTGTGCAATACCATTCAAAACCCCAAGTGACTTAAAACAGAAAAGATTGACCTCTTGATCTCTCTTTATGTCTGCCATGGTTTGGTATGTATATTTAGAAGGAAGACTGATTTGCTCCAGTATTACTAAAGGATTTGCCCTGCCCCTACAACAATCTGGAGCATCACTAGTTGTAATGACAGGGAAATGATAGGAATGGGAAAGTATACTCAACACAGGTCTACTCAGATGTCATTGGCCAAAACAAGTCACAAACTAGAGAACAGTAGAATGTGCAATCCTGTGTAAGCCCAAAGGTGAAACACTCTTACCGGTACTCCAACATCTACTCCAGCCACACCCCAGGAGACAGGTCAGCCCGCTCACCATGAAGCCTTAAGTGAAACCCTCTCCTCCACTAGAGGCTGCTTAGACTGCTCCTGAATATGCCTTGAGATACAGGTATCTGCTACTCACCTGTCATATCTGCCTGAAGTGTGAATTAACTACACTTAGTCCTTACAGACAGTGTGTACTTGCTGTTTCTCTAGCATGCAGTCAGTGGAATAACTTTTGCTAAGGTATCTCAGCATCCTCTTGGAGAACCTGCACATGTGCAAATAAGTTAGGAGAAAGAAACCTTGTAGCTAAACAGTTTATTTACCACCAGGTTGATGGACAGTCCTCAGACTCCTAGAGGGAAGGTAGATAACATGTTCAAACTCATTTAAATCTGGAACTCCTCTTGGGTAAGCAAGGGACAATGCCATGGAACACATGACAGAGTTTGAGAAAATGTAGATCAGGAAGATAGCAAAGTTCTGATTCTGAAATAAGTTCTTTTAAATTCACTCAACGTTACGTCAATGAAGAGGAACTATTTTCTCAAGTAATTAATTGAGAAAGAGACTTCTCTTGGATTTCTCAGTTTAGTTTCTCTTCCTCCTCCTCTTTCTCCTCCTCCTTCTCTTCTCGTTCTTCTAATTCTTCATCTTCCTCATCCTCCTCTTCCTCCCTTTCTCTCTCTCTCTCTCTCTCTCTCTCTCTCTCTCTCTCTCTCTCTCTCTCTCTCTGTCTATCTCTGTATGAAATGGTTCTCAAAATGCTATCAGTGAGGTTTTTTTAAGAGTATGTAACCCTGAAGTTGTTTTGATATATTCTTTTTACTAATAGAAAGAGTTACTATGGTTTTCCCTCCTTCCGGAAATGGAAGTTCTTTGATCAATCTTCAATTTCTAGAAAATATCCAGACTTAATGGTATTTACATAGTGTTTCTGCTAATCTGTATGAAAAGCATTTCACAAATGAAATTGAAACATTGTTTTTAGAGAAACCAAGGGTGGGCATTTGGTCCTGGAGTGGGTGCCTCACTTTTACTTCTGCATAACACACGACACACATACACTTCTACTTCAATAAAGCCAAGGAGATCAAATATAAAGTAAGCAAGAGCTAAGTTAGTTGGCTACTGGAGATAGAGTTGAAAAGACCGTCTCATTCCTCAAAGTTACTGCAGTAGGTTCAAACCCAGGATAAGAATCAGTTATGTAACTTGCACCCAGGCCAACACAAAACATTCATACATGCTCTGGACAGTTGTTCTCTGACTTGACAGAACTGATTAAATTGGTAGGTTTTTGTTTTAGTGTAAGTACCAAAACTTGCTATGAGATGGAGAGAAGGCAATTGTAAAAACAATTATGTCCCCAAGCTCATCCAAGAGATGATAGTTCATGCAAGGTTTAGATAGGGGAAGAATATAATCAGAATTATCTGGAAACACCCAAAACCCAAGAATTTCTCCAAAGGTCTTGAAAGAATTTCACTGCCCTCTGTGAAAAATCTACCAGGTCTTTCAAAGCAGCAGAATGATTGGCTGATAGTTTCTCCTTTCAGATAAAACCCAACCAACCAACCAACCAACCAACCAACCAAACAAACAAACAAAAACCGTGTGAGCACAATATATGCTCAGGGAAGGCTCAATAGGTTGCTTTGGGGGTCCAGACAATAGAACAGAGGACAGCATCTGCAATGGTTGTCTTCATTGTCAACTTGCCTGGATTATTAAAGCACATCTCTAGTGTTCTGTCAGAAAATTCACAGAGAGGATTAATTAAGGGAGAAAGGTATGCTGGGAACATGGGCATTCCTATTCCATAGGCAGGAGTCCAGCATAGAATAAAGGGGAGAAAGAGAAGTCCCAGCAGGCAGGCCAGACAGCCCTGTCCTATGCACCAAGCCAAGTTGCTCTGCTCTACCATGCCCACCTAGCCATTGTCAGCTGAAACCATGACCAGAATAAGTAATTCACTTAAGTTTTCCTTCTGAGGTATTTGGTAACAGCTTTAAAAGGTATCCAAATAATGCAGAAAATTGCTAGTAGAGAAGTGGGATTTTGGGTATGACTTTGACAATATTGCTCAGAAGGCTTTGGAAGTGGTTTGTGAGAGAAATTGGGGGAAAACAGGAAAGTGGACTGAAGAAGCCCCAGAATGATGCTATAAACAGCATTAATAGGGGACTGTAGAAGAAGTTTGGAAGACCCAAGTGCTGATAGAAGACAAATAGTGAAGGTGGAGCTTGTAAGGGCTGAGAGATTTTCCCTTCTGAGAACTAGGAACAGACTGGAAGCCATTCCTGTGATATTAGGGCAAAACTTTTACATACTTTGTTCCAAGAGATTTGAAGAAAGGTTGAACTTAATGATGGACTGATTTGTATGACAGAGGGAATTTCAAAGCAGACTAGTATGCTGCTATAGTATGGTTATTGCTATTTGTTTCTAGCAAAATTTATAACATATATGATTATTATGAGCAAAATTATAAATGAGCAAAATGTTAATGGAAAACATTTGAAAGGTGAGTTTGCCTAGATAACCATGGAAAGGCAGAGTAGAGATCATGACTGCAAGACAACTGAGGCCATTAGAAGAAACCAAGTACTTTGCATCACAATAATAGAAAGTACATATTAAAGGCATCTTAAAAATTGGGCCACAGCTGAGGAGATGCTCAGCAGATAAAGCACTTGCTAAGTGAGTGTGTTGACTGGAGGTTGGTCCCCCAAAACCCATGAAAAACATCTGGGCAGGAGCTGGGTTTAGTGGTTAAAGTGTTTGCCATGTAAGTGTCAAGTAAGCACAGCAGAGTGTCTGTAATTCCAGCCTGAAAAAGCAGAAATGGGATGCCTTGGATTAAGCTGGATAGCTAAATAAGCCGAAACAATGAGTTCCAAGTTCAGTAAAAGACCTTACGTCAATGTATTAAAGGGGAAGTTATCAAGAAACGCACCTTACATCAACAATGGGCTACCACATACACACGAACTCATTTGCGTGTGCACTTGCACACACATACACACCCACACACAGGAGAACATGCATAGAAAGGAGCATATACAGTATGCATACACATTCAAAAGACATAAATGAATTTGTTGAGACATTATTAATCAGAGGCTCAGTGGCAATGTTTGAATTAATTTTAAAGACTAGAAGAAGAGTTTGGGCCTACCCTGCTCACACAAAGCTACTTAAGAAAGTAGTCATCTAGGTACTCGTAGGTTGCTTTAGTCATAGCTGAAGTGCATCTAGCTGCTGCTGGGATAGCAGTATACCTTTTCTTTATCAATGTGATGCTAGGTTTTTTTTTGTTGTTGTTGTTTGTTTTTTGTTTTGGGGGTTGTTTTTTTGTTTTTTGTTTTGTTTTGAGACAGGGTCTCACTATAGAGCTCTGGCTGTCCTGAAACTCAGTATGTAGACCAAGCTGACATTAGATGTGCAGAGATCTGTCTGCCTCTGCCTCATAAGTGCTGTAACTGAAGGTGTTCACCACCACATCCAGCTCATGATGCTGGTTTATAAGCATGTAGTATATAAAAATCAAAGGATTATGATGCTTTCATCCATATTTCAAAGTAAAGCATGGAATGTCAGGAAATTTGTCCTCCTGAGAGGACAATGTATGTATGTAGCTATGAGAGAGAAGCCAAAGATGCAAAAGAGAACCCCAGAAGTTAGAGATCCCAGCAATGTGGAACATCTGCCATAGAAAAGCCACAGCCAATGAGCAGATCAAGACCAAGAGAGGAGTCACATAGGCTGGGAATAATAAGACCAAAGCAGTCAGGCTTTACCAGCCCAATTGGAGTTCACAGAATGCCAATCTGTACCCTGGATGGTAGATGTGGAACCACAGGATTGAATGTTTGTCTTGTTGGGTTTCAGACTTGTTTTGATCCCATACCTTTCTTTTGTGATTCCATCTTTCCATTTAGAAGGGGAAATGTTTATTTTAGTCCATCATGTTTCAGAAGTATATAACCTACTTTTGATTTTACATAGTCTCACTCTTCAGAGGAGACTTTGAACTTGTACTTTTGAGCTGTCCACACGGCTAAGAGTATAGAAACTCTAGGAAATGGACTGATGCGTTTTTACATGAGTCATCCGTGAGTCTTTTGAAGGCCAAGTGAAATGCTATAATTTAATTTGGGTAACAAGTTGACAAGGGATGGACTTGTAATGGTTAACTTTGATTATTAACTTGACTATATTGAGAAACAAGAATTCAATAAAGCACACTTCTGGGTATGTCTGTATGCTTCCAGAGAGGATTAACTATGAAAGTGGTAGGGAGACTATGCTGAATATGAGTAGCACCATCCCACAGTCTTGGTGCTTAAATAGAATACAGAGAACAAAATAGCTTCCAGATATTTATGTTTATACTCATAGATGAATATTATTCTCAGCCTTATGTAGAGAACCTTGCTTTCCAGAGAATGGTGGTGGATACAGAAAGACTCTTGGATGCACAACGTACTGAGAATAAGTGCTCAGTCATGAATAAAACACTCATAACATTCTTTCTATAGCTCATGGAACATTACCCAAGAGAGTATGGAAATATTGTAAGAGTGGAAAAAAATGGGCGAGGGCCTGCAAAATGCCATCTTTTGAGCAATTTAGTGTCACTGTAACCTTGAACTTATAACTGCTAAAGATGCCTGCCCTGGCTGGGTCTGGGTAAGAATGGACCCATCAACACTCAGGTATGGATGGAAGGGAGACTCAAAGGACCTCACCCTTCACTGCTAACTATTTGCTACTAATGTATTCAGGAAGAGAGGAAGTAATTACCTTCAGTTGCATACACACTGGTGACTCCTCCAGGCTCCATTCCAACGCTCACGTAGATAGCCCTAGTTAATCTAAACAAACCAAGAGTCATGAATCTGGGAAAAGGACTGGTAAAGATGGGTCAAGGGATAGTTGATAGGAACAAGAAAAAGATAAAAGAGGGGAAGGGGAAGTAATCAGAATATAGGGGGAGAAAGTAACCAGAATACGTTAAATATATGTATGGAACAGTGAAAGAGCTAAATAAAAAATAATATGGAAAAAAGAAATCCCACTGACTCAGGTATACATATTCTCTCCCCTCCCTTTATTGGCTTTGATGAGGTAGGGTGTCATCTTCTGCCACAACTTCCTCACTGGGATCAACTGAATCCTCCTCTGCAAACAGGAATAAAAGTTAATCACCTCTCCTCTCCATCTTTCAAGTTTTCCTCTCAAGTATTTGGACATAGTAGTTAGAAAATATGACTAAGAGAGTGTCTTTGCCCAGCTATGTTGGCTTTTTACCATTGTTGAGTCATATAATCTTTAAGTTATCATCAGGGTTTTGATAAAGCTGTTCTACAAAATAAAATTCCTTGCTTTCCCATCACCATGGTTTTACTATACCAATATACCAAAATAGAAAATAATTCAGTATGTTTTACAAACGGATATCATATGCCTAAATTGTCTCTCACTTCTTGAGGTCCTTCTCCAATGCTTATTAAGCCAATACTTCCATATATTGCTAGATTAATAATGTATTGTAGCCATATTATGAAGAAAGACTAACAAATTGAGACTATTCTTAAGTATGAAAGTAAATGGGAGTCCTCATTAATTACTGTTTGTTTCTTAAAAAATTGAAAACAATATAGTTCTTTTAAATAACTTTTTAAAAATTTTAAACAAAATTTTTTCTTGATTCTTTGGAAATTTCACATCATGTACCCCAATCCTGCTCACCTCCCAGTCCCTCCATATTCGCTCCTCACCCCTGCAGTATGCTCCCCCCAAAATTAATTCAAAACAAACAAAGAAACAAAGAAAACCTCACCTCATTTCTCCATCTTTCCAACACCTCTTTATTCATTCTAGTGGAAATGGGAGCTGCTGATGTGTCACACAGTATACACCTTCTGTCCAGTCAGCCCCACCCACAAATGTTCATTGTAATGAGTCATTGGTCTGGTTCAAGGCTTCTGGTTTCTGGTACACCATCATCACTGGGCCCCCATCAAAATCCTCTTGGATATCCTGTTGTTGCCCTGAGTCATGGAGATCCTGAGGCTATTGTTCAGCAGGACCAGTACTTTTGAGCACTCCAGCATGTCATAGATGGAGTAGCTGTTAGGGTGGGCCAACCCAAGGCCCAGGATATGGGTCTGGACCTCTGGGACTAGCTCTCCAACATCTGGGGTGGGTCCATCTCGCCAGAGTGCTCTCTCATGGGGGTTGGGGCAGTACCAGTTCTCCTGCTGCAATGCTCAACAAAGGGCAGAGCCTGGTACCCCAGGCTATTAAGGGACAGGACTGTCTTAGCCTCGGGTTTCAACACCCATGGTTCCTGTGACTCCCTATGGCAACACAAGCCATGAACATCAGCCCAGACCCTGGCTCCTCTTGGGCAATGGACACAAATATGGCTGATGGCAACAGCCCAGGCCCATCCCCATGTGGCTATGCAGGCCACTAGGATTAGCATGGCCCCTATGGCAGCAAGGCCCTCAGACACCAGCTACAGGTGGCAGCCCAGACCCCTGGCATTGGCATTGCCCTTGATAGTATCAGGAGCCATGAACATCAACACAGACCTATATTGCCTATTTATATACCTGCTTTGATGTACAGCACAGCTCTCTCTCTCTCCCCCCTCTATGCGTGTGTGTGTGTGTGTGTGTGTGTGTGTGTGTGTGTGTGTGTGTGTCCATGATTATAAAATTTAAAAAAATAAAAACACGAATATTTACTATGTTTGGCACAGAGCTAAGCACTGCATGTGTATTAACTCATGCACAGTGGGGCTAAACTTGCAGCAGTGGATGTTTTTAGAACCAGGCCTCCTGATTCCATATGCTATCCCATATGTGAGTGATGGGGATGACGGACATGATGACGAGACAGCTAGTGCACGAAGCTGTGGGAAGCATACTTGGGCAACTTCATGTTAAAAACCTGGGTTACTGCTTTAGGAAGTGTTTTATCTTTTGCAGTAGTACAGATGGATGCTGGGACTTTGTCCACTGGGAAAGCACTCTACCACTTAGCCACAACCCCTGCCCTTGAGCTCATCTTTTGACATTTAGTTTTCTACACATAAACATATAGAGTTTATCTCTAGGTTTTTTTAATGACAACTATTTGTGAACCCACAAAGTTATGTGCCTCCATCTAAATTTAAAAGATAACAGCTTTCCTTGTGATACAGTGACTTCTCATTAGGTGGAGGTTTCATCTTCAGAGAGTGTGGCATTGCTGGGAAAAACTTGAGTTTTAACAGCTTGAAGTCTTTGTTTTCTCAGATAATCACATTATCCATTCTCTAAGTGCATTTTCCTTCCTTCATTTGAATTTACTTATTGTGTGTATGCCTGTGTACATGAGCCTGTATACCCTGACACACATGTGGAGGCCAGAGGACAACTTGCAGAAGTTGTTTTTCTCCTTTATCGTGTGGATTCCAGGAATCACACCAAAATAATCAGGATTGGCTGCAAATGACTTTACCTGCTGAGCCATCTCACTGGCCCCATTGTTTAGTCCTTATTGTGTTATTTACTTCTTTGTAGTAGTATCATGGGAAAACAAAACTATCCTAAAATGTCTATGTTCCTATGCTCTTCAGGCCGGTTCCAACAGTTGGAAATCTTGGATCATGTGACCAATGCTTTCTCATCTTTGTTGAATGATGTTAACACCCACCAGAGCCAAGCTGAAGAGAAAGCTGGAAGACAGGGTATGCACAGCCCCACATCCAGTGATGCTAAAGAGCATCAGCAAAGAATGAGTAAACTTTTAAGAAGAACTTCAAGACAGAATATCAGGAGGGTTGGTAACCCAGCACTGTCAGAATCATTCAAGATGGAAGATGGGACTTCTACTCTGCCCACCAAGCCATGGAAGCATAGACTGGAATTACAAGTGGCTTCCATTAGCAATGATGGGAGTCAAGTGCCTCCTTCTACAGAGCATGGTTCTCCCCAATCCTGCAATGATTGGTTACCTTGTCTTCCTCCACAAGCTCTTCTGGACAAGCAGTGGCCTTGTTCATCCTCCCTGGCAAAACAGTCTCCTCAGACCAATGTGTCTGAGGGATCAGTTAGGAGAAAAACTTGGAAGGAGAAGTGGATTCACATGGACAAGCTTAAGAACTTGTCTCACATTGTGAGTAAAGGACCAGACTCCTTTGAAATGGAAGAGGTGAGTGTTGTCTCGACTGCTCAGCCTCCATTGGAAATGGCCCATGCCACCATATCCGTTTGCCTTCTTGCCTCCATTGATTCACTTGATATCCCAACCTTTTGCTCTTTTATCTTAGAGTTCCAAATTCAGTTTAGTCTCAGACACTTAAAGTTATTGTAGTTGCTTCAGGAAGAACCAAAGTGGTATGAAACCAGCCTTCTCCTGCTGTCTTAGTTACTTTTCTACTGTTATGCTAAAATACCATGACCAAGACAACTTATAGGGGTTAGTTTCCTTTGTTTACCTGCTTTAGCGTTTATTGGTAGTCATATATTGAGACCTTGCATTAAGTTTCACCTGCATCCTTTACTTCTTCATTCTTTTTTTCTTATACTAATTTGCACTCTTTTTCTAATATCTCCTTTTGCATTTAGTTGATAAAATATGTGTCTATGTGTGTGAGTGTGTGTGTGTGTGTGTGTGTGTGTGTGTGTGTGTGTGTGTGTGTGTTTCCTCTTACCTCTGTATTCATAATGGAAACTAGGATGGGACATGAGCTTATTGATAACTGTTCATTAACATAGTTACAAAGGAATAAGGAAGGGTGCTTTGCCAAGCCCCTGTGTATCTGAACTACTCCAAGATGAGTGGGGTAATTGATTTAATTTATAAATCACAAGATGGCAGTTGCCTGTCTGCTGAGCCCTCATGTGCCAGGCACAGCCAGCAGCACACAGTTGATAACAGAATCTGCTTTGAAAGGAGTGATAACAAGAATAGGCACACAAAGCAATGTCAGGGAGAAACGGGCACAGGTCCACAGATGGGCCCTTATATCATTCTGCAAACGTGTTTTGTGATAGCCAAGAAGCAACGAAAAGTATGATTAAGTAGCCAGGTGGCTGAGAAGATGAAGGAACTTAGGAAGAGTAAAGCTTAAGTATGCCTTGAAAGGAAACTAGGGTCTAGTCAGGGAAGGATACCTATAGTAACCCTCCTGCCCCTCAAAGATGTAAATGTTTCATTAAATACAGAGCTACTAATGAACCTAGTACATATTCATGTTTGCACACACACATGTGCCTTATATAAATCCTTACAAGGAACCTTTACAAGATTAAAACACCACTTTTTGCAACACATTTTTTTGTCAATTTATAACACTCTACCAAAGATCTGTTTTCTTCCAGTTTTGTAATTTTATGCATTATTTTAAATTCAATTTAATATTATAAGGCAAATGCATACTTGTAAAGATTACATGAACAATAAAATAATAGTTTCATTAAATATTTCCTGAATTAAATATCACTAAAATACTCTACGTTAGTCCAAGATGGCTTCCATAAAAAAACGAATATTGGGCAGGTGAGGTGGCACGTAAAGGTACTTGCCATTGAGCCTAAAGACCTGAGGTTGATCCCCAGAACTCACTTGGTGGAAGGAGAGAACTGACCCTGCAGTTTGTCCTCCACAAATGTACACACACACACACACACACACACACACACACAATGTATAAAAAGAAAACTAGATTATGTAGAATTTCATAACCAACTTCAACATTTTCTTTTATATGTGAAAAGCTTCATATGTGTATAAATCAGAGATAACCCTAAAACAATAGGAAAGAAACTCACCTCTTAAAACAAACAAAAAAGTTTTTGTAAACTGTATTAGCACTGTGGAAAATACCATTGCACTCAATGCTGTATGAATTAGTAAATGCAATGTAGGGAGACTGCGTAGTAACAGGAGCCAATGTTGGGTTTAACATCTATTTTTGAATGGCAAATCTAAAAATTCAAATACAAGAAATAAAAAATATGTGTGAAATTGACAGATTTTTAGAGGCATTTAAATGATAGCCAATATGCATAAATATCTGGCCAGTAGAGTTTTAACTATGGTTGGCCAAATTTTCCCTTAAAGTCAATCTATCACACTTCCCTCCAGGCCTGTTGAATGTTGCTTTTGGCCACATTTGGCTGGAATCTCAAAATTATAATTCCAACAAAAATTTTACATAGATTTCTAATGCAAAGATCAACACATTCTGTATTTAATTCAACTAAGCAGTATTGAGTCAGTTCCTTTCTTTTTAAGTTACCAAGAATATAAAGTGAATTTAATGCTTGTGAAATGCAGGCAGTTACACTATGTGACATATGCTTCTTTATGTTCCTGATTAATAACCTGCACCCTCCCTTCTCTAGTGAATGGACCCTGTATTTCAGAAAATACAGGTGAGACCAATGTTATTGTCAGTTGGCATCTTCATTGGGTACAGACTGCTTCTTTATTCAATTTTTACAGATTTTTAAAACTAATAACTTTGTATTGGGTAGAAAACTCAAGGATATACCTGGCATTTATTTTAAATTGTTGCACCCTTTTCTTCTATTATTGTTTTCCAAGTGTGTTTTGCATTGTACTAAGTGGATATTTCTTAGTGATAATGGTGTGGGAAGAGAGTTTCTCATTACATTTAAAAATGTGATGATGTACATTGGTTAGAGATACCAAAACCAATAAAAGGAATGCTGGTAAGTACATCTAATCAATTCTGAGTATAAGATACCACTCCTCCAAATTCTTGAAGGAGAACTTTTGACTTCATAACTATAGCTAGAAAAAGTCTTCAAAACATAAATCCTACAAAGAAACACTCCAAAATTAAGACAGTATCTGTTTTCACCTCTCTAAGAATTTTCTGGGTGACACATTTCTACAATGAGCTATGTTACTATTTAAAGATAATAGTTACTACTCTGTTTTAGTAATAGCTTTGCCATCATTTGTAGAATATTATTCATTAATTTTCAAAATATTTCAAAAATAAACCCTGCTCTCTTAATTTAGAAATAAATTTTGGGCTCTCTGGGGTGTATGTGTGTGTGTGTGTGTGTGTGTGTGTGTGTGTGTGTGTGTGTCTCTAAGAACTATGCAGTAGCTGGATTATCTGAATTACTGTGCATAAGCTTATCAAACCATAGTTAGCTAGCTTTTTCACACATATTTAATATTCTTCAGTAGCAAAAGAAAGTTCTAATGCACAACTTCCAGAAAGAAGCCTTGATCCTCCCACCCAGGAGTAATTCTCCCACTCAGGAATGATCCTCCCACTCAGGAGTGATCCTCCCACTCAGGAATGATCCTCCCACTCAGGAGTGATCCTCCCACTTAGGAGTGATCCTCCCACCCAGGAGTGATCCTCCCATCCAGGAGTGATCCTTCCACTCAGGAATGATCCTCCCCTCCCATGAACTCTTTGAATTCTTTGAGCCCTTCTTGTGGACAACTCATGCCACCTCCTCCCAGAAGCCTATTTGAGTTCAGTAACTCATGCTTTTCCCTTTATGTGGTTATCAGTGGATAATCATCGTTTATTGACTAAATAAAGTGAATTTGTTATGAAAATATTTCTAATGAAATTGATGCATTTTGATGTCTTAGGTCCAAAGCTTTGAAGAGGACACTGGCAACCCTATTAACCCGATTTCAGGAATTGTAGGTAAGAATTCAATAATGGATATGAATGACTTCATCAATGATCGAGAGAGAATGAAATAGCCGGCACTTAGCTCAGTTAAAATACATGGAGATTCATTATCTCCATGAAAGTCCCATATATTCCTATATTGTCTGGGTTTCAATGTAAATATACATGTCGATTTTAAAATACTTTTCAGGAAAATATTCACTATCCCTGTGGCTATTGTGTGTGGCTTGTCCAACAGAATCTGTATGAGTTGTGTGGTAGAATGGATTTAACACCTGAGACTGAATGGATGCTTTCCTCCTCCCTGGTCCTGGGTGTTGAACAAGTCATCCCATTTTGCAGGCCTCAGATTTTTCCATAAATAATAAAGAAATAAGTGCAAATCATTTTTAAGATTTTTAAGACACTTGCACTCTGAATTTTGTATGACCCTGCATCAGACTCTCAGGGGGTAGAAACTGCCAGGTTGCAGCCTTTCTGGTCTCTTCTTGGGATGATGCTCCACATTCTAGACTATAGAGCAACAGCCCTGCTTTGTTTCTGCTTCTCATCCCCCTAGTCACAGCTCTCACAGCTGCTATGGTCCTTCAGTGGAGCTGGAAGCAGGCAGAGATTAGTCAAGCAAAATAGAGCAGATGAAGCTAGTGTGTTTCCTGGAAGAAAATATGCAAATTTTAAATTTAATTTAGTGTGGTGTCAAACACATCTTTTCCATTACAAAGTGTATGTATGGGTCTCATTTTGCTAAATGCTGTTTAGAAATTATGCATTAGTAATTATAGGGTCCTGCTGATTACATAAATTGTTATCCTGCTCTTCAAGTAATCACCACATAACCTGCATTGAGGTTTATAAGACAAAAATAAGCATCTGTTTTCCATCTAATTGAATGCTTCTCAATGAAGCTGGAGGTCCCCTTGTCAATAGGAACTGCCTTCCTTGACATTCAATTAGGAGGTCTACTGATATCACATAAGCCATCCCAATTATTCCAGAAAGATTATGTGGGAAGTCGGGCAAAATGAGAGGCTAAGGGAGAGAAGTGATAGTTTGTCTAATAAGAAAAATCTGGACAGGTGGGATTTTCTTTTTTCCTTTTTATCTTTTTTTTTTTTCAAAAATAGTGTTGTGCCAAAGTGTGGTAGCACATGTCTGTAATCACAGCACACAGGAGGCTGAGGCAGGAGGATGAGACCAGCCTGGGATACCCTGTCTCAAAACAACAGAAAGAAAATAGGACTGAGATCCAAGAGTCAAATTAATTGAGTTAATGAGGCAAGAAAATTGTCTTGTATCACTTTGAAATACATATCCAAAAATATAAATATATATACACATATATATTTATATTCATACCATTTTAAATGCAAAATTCCAAAGATGACTTCATCTGAATTAGTACATGAGCTTTTTCATGGCCAGTAAACTATGGCTGGATAGTTTTAGGACACTTGCTGATGATTCTTAATCCCTTGGGTGCTTCCTGGATCTTGGAATGTCTACTCCTGGAACACTTCTTCTGGGAAACTAGGCTCATGCTGCCTGGAGATGCCTCATTTGGACATTCTGGTAGATGACCCCTAATGAACTTCCACGTGAATGAGCCATCCTTGATGCCTAGTCTAGTCAACTTTTGAGCTGAAACTAACACAGAATCAGAGACAACCATACAGCTAAGCAAGCTAGCCTGCAAAACCATGGGAAGCAATTATTTAAAGTCACACATTACACATAAATAATTGAGAGCACAGATAATCTCATAAACCATTAAGGCTCAGTTGCCTCTACTCATGCACAAAATTCTGAATATTAGCCAAAAATGTAACTACTCAAATTCATTTGTGAATTTGAGCAAAGTGACTTCTTATAGGTTATGGAGACCAAAGCTATAAATACTGTAACCTTGTTAAACCTCTGAAAAGTTAACACTAGAATGACAGGTAATATAAGGAAGGAAATACATGTGCACGCTATTTAAAGCGAGAATGTACATCTTCTATATTCCAGAAGCCATGGGGATTGTGTAGGTTCTGTATGAGAGAAAGAATGTGAGAGAAGTTGTGTGGATGATTTTAAATGAAGAACCCATCATGGGATTAAAGAAAATGGTTTACTAAAACAGCACACTACATCAGTGGCATAGTTTTCAAATATAACTATTATACTGATCAGGACACCCATTTTCCTGACACTTTAGAAAATGAACAAACATGGAAAATTACCACAAGATTTAACTCTTTAAAATCTGGTTATTTAGGAGAAATATCTACCACTAAAAGATTGACTACAAGAAACTTTCAGAAATGACTGGAGGTGATCATTCCCAATGAGATGTGTGAGGAAAGTCCATGCCCCGAGAGAGCAGTGCTCCAGGGATAAAATTCCACTCAGATCTAGCATTCAAGGTCTGATTTTGTTTCTGATGATAGGCTGCTTTCCCATGAATAACTGCAATTCCCAAAGTATTTTTAAAAGTTCTAACTAAAGACACTGAAAGTAGAATATCAGCAGGCAAATAGTTGAGTTTCAATGCTTGAGAGAAAGAACTGAAACCTGGGCAGGTTCTTCAAGGAAAGCAAAAGCCTTCTCCTAGCTGAGGTGGCTTCATTTGGCATCTTTCCAAAACTCAACCAGAAAGTTGTGTTACAAGTCAAAAAACTAAACAAACAAACAAACAAACAAACAAACAAAAACAAAAACAAAAAAGACCGAAGACAAAGTCCAGGATAAAGACAGAAGGATTTAGGAAAGGAAGGAAGCATGAATCCCAGAAAGAAGATGGCTAGGCTAGGAAATCCCCAAATTCTGGGTATGAAATCTGCCCAGAGGACTGTTCAGTATTTGAACTAAATATGGAATATAAATTTCAGGAAGGCCAAGAAATAACAAAGGCTGAAAGAAGTGAAAAAATAGGCAGATTTCCATGAAAGTTTCTTGCATCCTGACATAGTAACTGTTCTCAGTGTCTAGTCACAATAAAATTTATTACACATGAAGAAATAAGAAAGTACAACCAGTGCTCAAAAAAAATAATAAAGTAATGGAGAAAAGCGGTCAGAAACCCTGGATGTTGGAATCACCAAATATAAACATGTTAAATTTTATAAAAAGAAAATATGCCCACAATAAGAAAAATGATAACAAATCTCGAAAGCAAAATAGAAATTATAACACGAAAAATTCAATGAGTGATATAACTTTTAAAATTCACACTTCAGTGGATGAGTTTAACAGCAAGATGAGCAGGTAGTATACACCCTTAATTCCAGCTTCTAAGGATGGTATAAAACACTACAAATCTCAGGCCAGTCTGTTCGACATAGTCAAAATCAGTTCCCCCCAAATTTTTAAACACCGATTGAAAATAATAAAAAAAAAACTTAGTGAGCTTTAACATACATGTTTTACATATTACAGATGCATCCACTGATAGAAATTATTCAATAATATTAAAAGGGCAAACAAATTTAAACACCACAGGAAAAATTATCTGAGATACAGAAACCTGTAGAACAATGTTGAAGACTAATTATACATGTGATTGCAGATGGAGAAGCAATGGTTCGAGGAGAGCTGTGCAAGAAAAATATTTTGAGAGAATAATTTCCCCTAATTCACTCCTTAATGTACACATGCAAATATAAATTCTAAATGCTTAGCAAATACCTATAGCATAAATGCAAAGAATACTACACCTTAAAGCGTTATGATCAAAGTCATAAAGATCAAATGAAAGAGAACATGTTCAAACAGACACAGAAAAAGAATAGAGAAGCAAAGATTTGAAAGACAAGGGATTTCTCCTCAGAAATTATGGAGACCAGCAGACAATATTCATGTCAGAATCTGCTTGTAGTGAAGCACCATGGAAGAAGACAATAAAGGCATCTTCAAACCACACTAACTAAAATATCTCAACAGAGGCACAACTTCTGTCAGTAGTAATCAAGGAAGTACTTCAAAGATGGATAGCAAACCTCTGCTGATGTAATATATATCATTTATATCAAAGAGGATATGAAAGCTAGTAAGTGGACTCACGTGGATACATGAAATGGCAGAACAGCAAATTTAAATAAACTGTGAAAAATTAAGAACATAAAACCATAATGATAGAAGGAAGACACTAATAGAAAAATGGAATACACTTTTAAAAAGACACAATGAAAGCAATTAATCACAGAGTGATTACCTTAGAAAATAACTGAAAAGTAGAAGATGTGTGGAAAAATTATCTAAATATTTTGAAAAGACAAAGAAACTATGTAATAAACAGTTAGATGGACCTAGGAAATACTAAGTGGATTTAATGGGCAGTTAGACTCTTCCTATTTCTGTTTTGACCAAGGTTCTGAAAAATTATATCAGATACAAAGCCATTAAATAGCAGATAAATAGATGGATGGATACATGATAAGTAGATAGATAGATAGATAGATAGATAGATAGATAGATAGATGACAAGATAGATGATAGGTAGATAATAGACACATGCTATATACAGCTTTTTTTACAACAAAAAAATTGTAGGAACCAGTTTCTCAGCCCCTCAGCCTTTTGGCTCACCATGGTTATAAGTAAGGAACAAGTTGCGGAAAGACTAAGAGAAAGCAAGGGTAGTGGGTGAGGAGATATTACTGGTGATGCCGGAGAGCCTGCTTTTCCAGAGTGTGTATTCCAGAGTGCTGCCTGTCTGCCTTTGAAATGACTCTCTACAGTTAGGAGATAGTTCCCATGGAGGAACACCAACACAGTGCAGAAAAAATTGTGACTCCTGGTAAAGAAACCTATTGAACAGGAGAAGGGTCTGTCATTGAATTTGACCATATTTTCCCAGATTTCATCTCAGCAATTGAGGCATATCTTATAGTTGATAACAGGCCTTAGTTTGACAGGGCTTTGTCATTTCTTTCTAAGTGGTTTTAAATTGATGGTCTCTAATATTTGGTAACAACTGGCATAGATAAAATGTAATGTCATCTACTAAGCTATTATCACTGCAGTGTGTGGTG